TCAAGGCTAGCGCTCTACCACTTGAGCCACAGCACTACTTTCAGCTTTTTTCTTTTTGCTTATGTGGTGTTGAGGAATCGAACCCAGGGCCTCGAGCATGCAAGGCAAGCACTCTACCACTGAGCCACCTTCCCAGCCCCTTGGAAGATTTTTAAATTCATTTTCATCACAAGAAATAAAGTCCCTTAACATGATACAATCATGCAAAACATGCAAATAAACAACTCTATTTTCTTTTGCAAATAGAAAATGAAGAAGCAGCTGGGTGCTGGTGGCTCACGCCTGTCATACTAGCTACTCAGGAGGCTGAGATCTGAGGATCAGGGTTCAAAAAGCCAGCCGGAGCAGGAAAGTCCATGAGACTCTTAACTCCAACAAAACACTCAGAAAACCGGAAGTGGAGATGTGGCTTAAGTGTCAGAGCACTAGCCTTGAGCTGAAGAGCTGAGGGACAGCGTCCAGGCCCAGAGGTCAAGACCCACAACTGAAAAAAAAAAAAGAAGCAAGACCTGTTGAAACAGACAGGTTTGCAGTAAATATACTAGGGGTTTTCAGAATTTTTTTTCCCTTGTCATTTGAGGAAGGGAAATTATAACATTGTATTTCATTATTTTTTTTTTTTGGAGTTTAACAAAGCAGTTTATGAATACAGTGCATCTTGATCCATGTTACTCCTTAAGTTGCAATTTTAAAGACTACTTAACTTCCTTAAACAACATTTCAGAAGTCACATGTTGAACTTCCATTTGCCTTCGTGTGTCTGTTGGTGCCTCAGAGTTATTTTGTTTTCCCCCCCTTTTTTTAATTTTACTTTTTATTTTACTTTTTCCTCAAAAATTTATGTAGCTTTTTGGAAAGTGATAGTGATCACTTCTGTAGTGCATTTGTTCCTAGGGGATACCATTTTGAGAGGTTCTGTCACTTATGCTATGGTGTTCTAGAAGTTATGAAAAAAAAAAAAAAAGCTTCTATATCAAACCCATCAGATATTGCTCACGTCCGCCATAAGCTTATGGAAATTTCCTTAATTTCTGAGAAAATTTAGGGACGATGAATTTTGCTTTGGAAGGCTAAAAGTTGTTTGACAACAACAACAATAACAAAAACAACAAAAAGGAATAGTTGCCTGGGCTAGTGGTGCCCACCTGTAATCTCAGCCTCCAGGGATTAAAACAGGAGGATTAGGAGTTCAAGGACAGCCTGAGCTTCTTAAGCAGCTGACTTGTAACCCATCCCTTCTCCCAGAACAAAGACAAACCTCCCAGAGCTGGAGGTTGAGCTGCGATTATTGAAAAGAGTAACAAAAATGATCATAAAGTTGATGACTCAGTCTTGATATTTGACCAGTATTGTGTGTAAGAATTTGTTTATCTTCTCAGTTAGTTTGGTTGAAAAAAAACAAAACACCCTGGTGTATGTTGAATATTCGAATTAAACAGATATGTTGAAATTTGTAACAGAGATCTTTGATGATTAGTTATGTAATTTCTGATAGTACGGAGGTTAAACTCAGAGCCTGGTACTTGTTAAGCAGGTACTCTAAGTCTAGAGCTACATTCTTCTTTACAAACTTTTGCTTTTTTTGGTCCATTTAATTCAGAGTCTCAGGCTTGCTAGGCAGGTAGATGCTTTACCACTTGAGTGTTACCTGAAGACTATTTTTATTTTATTTTTAGTGTTTTTCATGAAAGGCCTTGCATTGTTGTCTAAGCCTAGCCTCAGATCTTGATCCTCCTATATAGATAGCCTCCACCAGGGATGGTCCCAGGCACACCCTGTGCTGACGTATTTGTAGTGATGAAAAATTGTTAACCTTTTTTCTTGGGATGACCTTGAACCTCAGACGGCCCCATCTCGACCTCCTCAGAAGCTGGGGTCCATAGGACTGGCTATCCGGGATATTTTATCACTGTCTTCCCCTTCTCCACCTTTTTTCTTTGGCATTCTGGAGCCCCTAGTAATGGCAACCACAAATCCTTCAATGTCTCTGAAACCTCTGTCTTTCTCCTTTCATGGATGTGTGTCTAAGTCACTGCCTTCAGTTTAGTAGGATCTTAAACTGGAGCTTGGTGGCTTGTCCATACTTCCAGTACTGCTTGTCTCCACCTGTGATTATTTCTTGGTGCAGACATATTCTTCCTCATTTCCAACTTTGGTTTTTTTTTTTTTTTTGGGTCCGGTCGTGGGGCCTGAACTCTGGGCCTGGACGCTGTCCCTCAGCTCTTCAGCTGTAGACTAGCACTCTACCACTTGAGCATCAGCCTCACTTCCGGCTTTTTCTGCTTATGTGGTGCTGAGGAATCGAACCCAGGGCCTCATGCATGCAAGGCAAGCACTCTACCACTGAGCCACCTTCCCAGCCCCAACTTTGGGGTTTTTAACCCTGCTTTCCTTGAATGCTTTCTGCTCTTGTCCTGTCTCTTTCATATCAGTTTTGATCTAATTCCTGAAAATATGTTCAGGTGACTTTTTTTTGTTGTTGTTGGTCGTGGGGCTTGAACCCTGGGCCTGGGCACTGTCTCTCAGCTCTTCAGCTCAAGGTGAGCGCTCTACCTCTTGAGCCACTGTGCCATTTCCAGTTTTCTGAGTGGTTTATTAGAGGTAAGAATCTTATGGACTTTCCTGCCTGGGCTGGCTTTGAACCTTGATCGATCCTCAGATCTCAGCCTCCTGAGTATCTAGGATGACAGGTGTGAGCCACCGGCGCTCAGCTTCAAGTGACTTTTTTTTTTTTTTTTTGGGGGGGGGGTCCAGTTGTTGGGCCTGAACTCTGGGCCTGGGCGCTGTCTCTCAGCTCTTCAGCTCAAGGCTAGCGATCTACTGCTTGAGCCACAGCACCACTTTCGGCTTTTTTCTTTTTGCTTATGTGGTGCTGAGGAATCGAACCCAGGGCCTCAGGCATGCAAGGCAAGCACTCTACCACTGAGCCACCTTCCCAGCCCCCTCAAGTGACTTTTTAATATTATTTTATTCCACTTCCATGCGATCTCAAGCCTGTCACTTCTTAGTGTTTCTATTTGTGTTTGTTACATATCCAAAACTGAAGTCATTTTATTTTTATTTTACTTTTTGTGCCAGTACCAGAGCTTGAACTCAGGTACTTTCTCTCTTGCTTCATTTTTTTGTTCTTGGCTGGCATTCTACCATTTGTGTCACACCTCCAGTCCTGCATTTTGATGCCGTGGAGATGGGAGTCTGAAAGGCTTTTCTTCCTGGTTTTACTTTTTTTTTTTTCCCCAGTCATGGTGCTTGAACTCTGGGACTGGGCGCTGTCCCTCAGTTCTTCAGCTCAAGGCAAAGCACTCTACCACTTGAACCACAGCACCACTTCCATTTTTGGGGTGGATCATAAGAGTCTCACAGACTTTTCTGCTTGGGCTGGCTTTGAACCAAGATCCTCAGATCTCAGCCTCCTGACTAGCCAGGATGACAGGCGTGAGCCACTAGTGCCTAACCTTTTCTTAATCTCTTAAAATAAGTGTTACTTTCTTTCTCTCTCTCTCTTTGTGGTTCTAAAGGGTCAAGTTATCCTCTGACTTAACCTTGACTATCTCTCATGTTTTCTTCAAGCAATCTTGTTTTCTAGACAAGTGTATGTAGGTGCTCACTTGTAATCCTAGCATTTCAGAAGTGAGGAGGTAAGGCAGCAGACAGTTTCTGGCTGTACAATGAGACCTTGTCTGAAATGAACATTTTAATAGAATAGAAAGAGAATACTGGAAAGCATCAGTAAGGAATTACTCCTTGTAAGTCTATAATCTCAAAATTACACTTATAAAATTTTGAGATGAGTGTGATGACATAATTATGAGATGTACTTATAACTTGTGGAGATAATGGAAGGAGACTAGTGGCTCAAGTGGTAGAATGCCAGTCTTGAGCTTTAAAAAAGCTAGGTGAAAAAACTTGGGTTCAAGACCCAGTATCGGCACAAACACACAAAAAGATATTCTTCAGCAAGAAGCAAACTGAGACTAGACTGAGAATGTCAAAACAAAACTAAAGAGTTGGTAAAGTACGATGTATGGTGGTAAAGCTCAATAGTTATCAATGAGTTGAAATAAAATGATCTTCTTGAGTTAAGCTTTACAAATAATTTTATTTCCTTTACAGAATGACACCAGCCAGTATGGGACTAAATTAGCATTTTTCAACAGTATGAACTTAGTTTACATGATTAAAAAAAACCCTCAGGATACAAATATTTTTCCATCCATTTATTGGGTAAAACCATCAGATGAACAGATTTAAAAAGAAACATATATATATATGTGGGCATGCATACATGTACACATATATATCTCCCAGTATGCTGATAAAATTTAGCATAAATATTCATTTATAATGAGAACAAGACTGGATAAGAGCATCTCCAGAAGGTTAGGTTATTTGCTATTTAGAAGCACTACATAGTCATGTACAATAACCACCAACAAGACATGGCTAAACATCTTGATAATGAGAAAACATACATGAAAACCTAGCAATTTCTTGATTGGAAAACCAATGGGGGAGGAGGCCACAGTGATCATGTTGGTGCAGATGGAGTGTCTCACCAGAGAAGTAGTTGATGCCAATGGAAAGGCCTCGAAGACAAATCTGTGAGAGTCCAGAAATATCTGGGTGTCCTTATAATCTTAGTTCCCCGGGAGTCTGGAGATCTGAGGGGTGGAGGTTCAAAGAAGTGAAGCTGTAATGGCTCAGGTGGTAAAAAACAAACAAAATGAAGAGTCAGCTCCCAGGCCCTGAATTCAAGCCCCAATACCAGCACAAAAGAATAATAAAAGGATAGAATGATCTAGAAATCTGCCTTTTCTCCTTGGCATCTCGCTTCTGGGCCAAGCCATAGTCTGTACCACCCTTCTTCAGGTGGGATGGTGGATCAGGGTGGGTGGCGCTGGGAACCACCCCGGGACAGGGGGTGGAGGGTGGAGGTGAAGGTGGGGGATCCCCCCCCTTCTCCCTCTCTCTGCCCCCCCGTACCCCCACCCCAGGCTCCTTCACTCCTGGAACAGGCGTCTGCGGGCCTTGCGCGCGGGGCGCTGGGGGAGACTGGGTCGGCGGGTCGGATTCGAACTCGGGCTGGGAGACGCAGGCAGCGGCTGCAGCGGCGAGCCGGGGGCCGACCTGGGAAGGTGGAAGAAGACGGACTGTGCGCCGCGGCTGTCTGGATCCGGGGTGGGCGCCGTCGATGAACCCTGGGGCGGCGGGCTGGGGTGTCCAGGCCCGGGGCTGGGGCGGCTGGGCTCCGGGAGGTGGGGCGGGGCGGCGTCCTGGGCCTCGGCCTCCTCCTCCTCCTCCTCCTCGGCGGCGTAGGCCTCTTCTCGGCCCGCCACCTCGGGGACCGGGCCGCAGCCCCGCGGGGCCGTCCCGTCCTCGGCGCGCGCGTCCGGCGGGGCGCGGTCGTCGCGGGCTGAGACCCCGGGCTGCCCCGGGCGCTGGTCGATGAGGCCCAGGAGGTCCTGGGGGATGAGGATCAGCCTGCGGCCTTGCAGGTCCACGGTGAGCACCGGCGCGGGCTCCAGCACCACCAGCTCGACGCGGCCGCCCACGGGCACCTGCAGGCCGCAGCCGGCCGCCAGGACCACCAGGGCCGTCAGGCCGACCTGGCCGTCCGCGTGGGCCGGGGTCTCCTTGGAGGGGTCTTCCTGGCTGGGTCGGTCCCGTCGGCGGCGCTTGGCAGGCCGCGGTCCCCACCCGGGCGCGGGGCGGGCGCCCATGGTGTCGAAGGCGACGCCCGGGTGTGCGCGCGCGTGCGTGTGTGTGTGCGTGTGTGTGTGTGGCGGGGAGACACGAGTGCCGTGGCGGAACCCACCCAAGGTCGTAAAGTGTCACGCTCGGCCACGCCCCCCTCGAGGCTCCGCCCAATGGCGGAGGTCGGGGGTGGTGGTGGTGGGAGGGTGGTACGCCCGTCGCTGCGTTGTGATTGGTGGATTTCTGTGTGCGTGGGGGCGGGACGGCGTAGGGAAGGGAGGGAAGGGAGGGAAGGGAAAGGAGGGGAGAGGACCAGGTTTTACGGCCTGTGAAGGCGGATCGACTTGGGGTGGGGATGGAATCCCTGTCGCACGGCCCCGGGTTCGAATGGAAGGAGCTCTCACTGGGAGTCTCCCACCACCCTCCGCCCCAGCGGTCTCTGGGGCGGGACTCCCGAGTGGAGACCGTCCTGACTCAGCCGCCGGGAACCGCAGCGCTGGGAACAGGGAAGTAGGGGAAGAAGATTCCAGGTGACCCAGCAAGGCCAGCCAGCGTACTTCATACAAACAGACTTGTATACCAATACCCATGTATGCATAGACAAACATACATATGTACCTACTATATACAAACACATGTATGGATAGACAGACACCTACACATACCACATACAAACACACATGTATCCATAGACAAACATATTCAGATACTGTATACAAATACACATATATACATAGACATCTACACATACTATATGCAAACACACATGTATACATAGACATCTACATATACTATATACAAATACACATGTATACATAGACATACACCTACACATACTACACACAAAGACACATATATCCATAGACAAACACACATATATACCTACTATATACAAACACATATGTATACATAGACATACACCTACACATACTATATACAAATACACATGTTCCAGACAAACATACATATATACCTACTATATACAAATACACATGTATACATAGACATCTATACATACTATATACAAACACACATGTATACATAGACATACATCTACATATACTATATACAAATACACATTATACATAGACAAACATGCATATATACTATATACAAATACACATGTATCCATAGACATATCCATAGACAAACATTCATATATACCTATTATATACAAACACATATGTATACACAAACACACATATATACCTACTATATACAAATACACATGTATACATAGACAAACATATATACATACTATATGCAAATACACATATAGACATAGACATAGGCACATATATATGTAATCAGAAGATGAAAATTTCTTTCCCCAGCTCCTGGAAAAATACTTTAAATATACGAAAGCAGAGTGGGAGTTCTGGTAGCCTGCCTCCTGTCATTCTATCTACGACTCAAGCTGAGATCTGTGCATCTAGGATGGAAGCAAGCTCGGGTAGAAATGTCTGATCGGTTCTTATTGCCAATGAAAAAGCCAGAACTGGAGATTTTCAGCTCAAGTTGGTAGTAGCGCTGCCATCTAGTAAACAACCTGAGCCAAGAGCCTGATTCGCTCATTTTGAAGTCCCTGACTTGGAAATTTAAAAAAAGAAAAAAAAGGAAAAAAAGAGAAAACGGTTATTGTTTCTTTCTGAGTTTTAAAACCTGTAATAAAATTGTTTAAAAATAAAAACAATAGGGGCTGGGAAAGTGGCTCAGTGGTAAAGTGCTTGCCTTGCATGCATCAGGCCCTGGGTTTGATTCCTCAGCAACACATAAGCAGAAAAAGCCAGACATGGGCGCTGTGACTCAAGTGGTAGATTGCTTGCCTTGAGCTGAAGAGCTCAGCGCCCAGGCCCAGTGTTCAGGCCTATGACTGACAAAAAATAAAAATAAAAAATAAGAAGAAAGGAAAAATTATTTGGTACTTATATAGGTATTCACCTTTCTATTACTTTATACTTTTTTTGTCCCTTTGCTGGTATGAGGGCTTGAGTCTGCTGCACTCTTTCCTTTCTTATTCATGATGGGTGCTCTATCACTTGAAGCATGGTCCCCTAGTTCTATACTGAGGAACTGCATTATTTATTTTTGTGCTGGTACTGAAGCTTTAACTGTGGGTCTAGGCATTGTCCCTTCGGTTTTTCACTTAAGGCTGGCACTCTATCACTTGAGCCACAGTTCCACTTCCAGCTTTTTGGTAGTCCCTTAGAGATGGAGTCCTGCCTGGGTTGGCTTTGAACCGAGATCCTCAGATCTCAGCTTCTTGAGTAGCTAGGATTACAGGCATGAGACACCGTGCTCAGTTACTTTTCTTCTTTACTAGCAGGATGGGAATGGTACAAAAGCTTTTGAAGTGTGTAAGAAAACCTCTGTAGATAATCCCTCTATGATAAGAATCTTTTCATTGTACGAACCCACCATTTAGCTTCAAAGGATATTGGGAAAGTTTAGGTAATTTCCAATTTAGAGAAGCAGACATTTTTTCCTGGAAGAGAAGACATGGATTCTATAAAAGTGGGCAATGGCTACCATCTTGGTGGCTTTGGAATAAGAATTAGACAGTTTGTACAGCTTAGAAAACCAAAGAGAGTAGTTGGGAAGGTGGCTTAGCGGTAGAGTGCTTGCCTTGCATGCATGAAGCCCTGGCTTCGATTCCTCAACACCACGTTAACTGAAAAAGCCAGAAATGGCACTGTGGTTCAAATGGTAGAGAACTAGCCTTGAGCAAAAAGAAGCTCAGGGACAGTGCTCAGTCCCTTAGTTCAAACCTCAGGACTGGCAATAATAATAATATAAAATAAAGAAAACCAGAGGATACTTCTTGGATCAATTAAACTCTCAGGAGAACTTCATCTGATCTTTTTGATAACCCACAGCAAAGCTTGTCCACATGAATGCTGGTTTGGTTAAGAACTTGATTCCATCAAATGAAACTGATACTACAACTTGGGTTTTGAACTTTGAATAAATAGACAATAGATTCAACTCAAGAGAATAGGAAAGGGAGTTGCCTGATTTCATATAAATGACCACAGAGATTTCTTACCTGCAACAATAAATTTCATGAATAGTAACGTAGCAATGGCTACATGTGAAAGTATATTGGCTTTTTCTTTTAGAATTTCAAACTCAGCTGAAATATCATCAGTTTTGCAGATATGATGGAAAAAATCTGCTGATATACAAAAACTAATATTTATCATGCAAATCCTGTAGGGAAGAATCTTTAAAATGTGTAGCATAGGCTGAATGAGGATGCATGTCTGTGATTTCAGTATTTGGGAGGCTCTGAAGCAGAATTCCAAGTTCGATGCCAGTCTAGGCTACATAGCAAGATTTTGTTGAAAGAAAGAAAAAAAGGAAGAAAAGAAGGAAGGAAGAAGGAAAGAAGGAAGGGAAGGGAAAAAAAAGAAAATGCTTGAGTTTAAATTTTTTTTGGGGGGGATCCGGTCGTGGGGCCTGAACTCTGGGCCTGGGTGCTGTCCCTCAGTTCTTCAGCTCAAGGCTAGCGCTCTACCACTTGAGCCACAGCGCCACTTCCGGCTTTTTCTTTTTTTTTTGCTTATGTGGTGCTGAGGAATCGAACCCAGGGCCTTAGGCATGCAAGGCAAGCGCTCTACCACTGAGCCACCTTCCCAGCCCCTTGAGTTTAAATTTAAAACTATACTATGGGAACAGAACAGAGAGAAATGAATAGAAAATGAGCCCAGGCATTGGTAAAAATGTTTTGGTAAATTTAAATAATAACTATTAATGTTGAACAGAAAACCAGCATATAAAATGTCAGCTTTATTAAGAGTACTTTATTTCATCATAAAAACGTAAGACAAACATGGCAAAATAATGGACAACTTAATATTAGGAGCAACCACATGAACAAAGACAAGCTCCTCTCAAACAATAAAGAAAAAAAACAACTTAGAAAATAATGTGCTTTAGCAGAAACACAAGGATACTTAGTTGTTACAAGCTCTATCAGTGCAGATTGCCACATGAATTAACTTGAGAAGACAGACACCACAAAAATAAACATCCACACATCCCAAAAAATTCTCAAAAGCTTAACATGTAAGCCTTTCATATTTAAAACTGTGGGGGCTGGGAAGGTGGCTCAGTGGTAGAGTGCTTGCCTCACATGCATGAGGCCCTGGGTTTGATTCCTCAGCACCACATAAGCAGAAAAAGCTGGAAGTGGCGCTGTGGCTCAAATGGTAGAGTGCTTGCCTTGAGCTGAAGAGTTGAGGGAGAATGCCCAGAGTTCAGGCCTCAAGACCAACAAAAACAAAACAAAAAACCTCCCAAACCCCAAACAAAAAAAACAAAAACAAAAAAACCCCCAAAACTAAAATTGCCCCAATCATTTTCTTTCAACTCTTCTCTTAAGTTTTCGTAAGGGCATCCAATACTTAAAACTGGTCTCATCTGTTCTCTTGCTATGTTTCTATGTGTGGCTTAGGATTCCATGCCATTGTATGTATACACACAATTAATTAAATTCAACCATTATATTCAATGTGCAAAATAATTGGATAACTTTTGTAGTCATCCAAAAACAAAACAGAAGGGCTGGGAAGGTGGCTCAGTGGTAGAGCTCTTGCCTTGCAAGAGCGCTTGCCTTGCATGCCTGAGGCCCTGGGTTCGATTCCTCAGCACCACATAAGCAAAAAGAAAAAAGCCGGAAGTGGAGCTGTGGCTCAAGTGGCAGGGCGCTAGCCTTGAGCTGAAGAGCTGAGGGACAGCGCCCAGGCCCAGAGTTCAGGCCCCACAACCGGACCCCCCCTAAAAAAAAAACCCCCAAAACCCCAAAACAAAACAGAAATCGAATGTTTGTTCCCCCCCCACTATCAAAAAGAGGAAAAACTATTTTCTTAGCTAAATCTTAGAAGTATCAACAAAACATATAATATAGGACTGTCTGGTCAGCCACACTGTTCAACATGAACTTAAATATCCAATACAAAAGGAGTAAATGACAAAGAAAACTACAAAGATGTTTATCAAACAAAGACAAAATTCTCAGTACTTAGATATGATTATTCTTACTAACCAACCAAGAAATACATAGATATGTATTAAAGAGGTTAAGTAATTTTGTTGGAGATCAGAGCAACATAAAAAATTATTTCTATACACTAGTAACTAGGTACAAAGAAGACTCAGGATATTATAACTATACAAATATCAAATCTCAGAACTAAGAGCTTTTCCAGAACAGGAAAAGATATTAAAAATATACAATGCGTGGAAAAGAGGTGTTTTTTTAAAACCCCAAACAAAAGACCCATAAATTCTTTGCTAATTATAAAAAAAGGTATATGATCACTGTTTCAAGTTTTTTGTTTTGTAGACACAAACATATTGCTCCAGTCCCCTAAAAGAACTAGGTTTGTTTTTTTTTTTTTGGTCCTGGGGTCTGCACTCAGGGCCTGGGTGCTGACCTTGAGCTTTTGTGCTCAAGGTTAGCACTCTACCATTTGAGCCACAGCTCTACTTCTTGGTTTTTGGTGGTTCATTGGTGATAAAAGTCTCACAGACTTTCCTTCCCAGGCTGGCTTTGAACCTCGATTCTCAACTCTCAGCTTTCTAAGTGGCTAGGATTACAGGCATGAGCCACTGGTGCCTGGTGGGAGCTAGGCCTATGGTAAAAAGGTAGCCATAAATTAGCAGAGCCTAAGGCCAAATCCCACTAAATAACAACAAACTACTTCGATGCCAGCACTGGGGCTTGAATTCAGGGCCTGGACACTGTCCCTGAGCTTGTGTGCTCAAGGCTAGCGCTCTACCATTTGAACCACAGCTCCACTTCTGGCTTTTTAAAAAAAAAATGCCAGTGCTTGGGCTTGAACTCAGGGCCTGGGCGCTGTCCCTGAGCTTGTGTGCTCAAGGCTAGTGCTCTACCACTTGAACCACAGCTCCATTTCTGGCTTTTAAAAAAATGCCAGTGCTTGGGCTTGAACTCAGGGCCTGGGCGCTGTCCCTGAGCCTTTGTGCTCAAGGCTGGCGCTCTACCACTTGAGCTACAATTCCACTTCCGGCTTTTTTTTTTTTTCCTGGTTCGTTGGAACTAGGAGTCTCACAGCTTTCCTACCCGAGCTGGCTTGAGCCTTGATCTTCAGATCTCAACCTAGTGAGTAGCTAGAGATACAAGGCATTAGCCATTGGGGCCTGGCAGAAGGATGCTTTTTTATATGGATGCGAAAAGATTGAGTGGTAGGGTACTGGAGCAAAAGCGAGTTGGTAAAGCAAAGTGCTCGAGGCAAAAACGTGGTGCGGGGTGGTGGTGAAAAAGGCCCTAATAGCTAACTCAAAGTCTCAAAAGTTGATATATCTCAAGCAGGGTATTTTGAGGCTGAGGCATTCTTCCAGATTTCCTAGCCAGCCAGTTAAAAAAAAAACCAAAAAAACACAACAAACTGCAATGATACAAACAGGCAGACAAACTCCAAAAAGAAACCAAGTAACCAAAACCAACACCCCAAATCCTCACTTTGTAGGTTACACCAGTCACACACCATTGGTTTTGCCAAGACCCCTCCCACCCCCAATTAGAAGCCAGCAGGAGGAGTGAAAGTGATCTTTTTTTAGAACAGGCGTCTCCGGGCCTTGGATGCAGGGCGGTGAGGTTGCGCAGGGCGCACGGGGAGACTCGGTCTGCCGGTGGGATTCGAACTCGGGCTGGGAGACGGAGGCAGCGGCTGCAGCGGTGAGCCGGGGACTGACGACCTCAGAAGGTGCAAGTCCAGGTTGAAGATGGACTGAGCTCTGTGGCTGTCTGGATCCGGGGTGGGCGCCGCAGAAGAACCCCTAGGCTGGGGGCTGGGATCTCCAGGCTCGGGACTGGACCAACTCAACTGCAGGAAGTCGGGCTCGGCGGCGTCTTCGGTGTCTTCTTCAGCATCCTCCGCGTAGGCCTCTTCTTGGCGGGCGACCTCGGGGACGGGCTCACAGCAGAGTCCCTGCTGGACCACGACGTCCTCGGGGCGTGCATCCAGCAAGGAATCCAGCAGCAGGCCGCTGCCATCGTCGTCGTCGGATGAGACCCCGGGCTGCCCCTGGGGGGTGAGGCCCAGGAGGTCCTGGGGGATGAGGATCAGCCTGTGGCCTTGGAGGTCCACCGTGAGCACCGAGGCCGGCGGGGGCTCCAGCACCAGATCGACGTGGCCTAGGGGTACCTGCAGGGCGCAGCCGGTGGCCAGGACCACCAGGGAGGTGAGGCCGGCCTGGGCGTCGGCGTGGGCCGGGGTCCCCTTGGAGGGATCTTCCAGGCTGGGCGGCTGCGGTGGCGGCCCGGGCTGGTCCAATCGGCGGCGCTTGGCTGGGCTGGGTCCCGCGGCGGGCTCGGGTGTCCACCAGGGCGTGGTGCTTGCGTCCATCATGTCGTCGAAGGCGATGTGGGGGTGGGGACCTGGCGGTGGTCGTCGCCCGGGGGTGGGGGTGGGGTGGGCCTGGAGGGCGGGAAGGGATGGAGGTCTCCGGGTGTTGCTTTCGTGCACCCGGTGACAGTCAGAGGTGGAAGAAGCCCAGTGAGGCGGGAAGGAATCTTCGTCGTAGTCGTCGCCTTCTGCGGGCCTCGGCGCCTTGGAATCCCGCGCGCGTCCCTCACACAGCTATGGACGGACGTGCCACGCTCTGGATGCCCGATTGTGTTGCAAGTGACGTGTGTGTGTTATATATATAGCGGAACCCCAGTGTCAAAGCGGCACGCTAGGCCCCGCCCCCCTCCGCGCTCGTCCAATGAGCGTGCTCCGGCCTAGACAAGTAGCTGCGCTGTGATTGGTTGCTCCCTGTAGAGGAAATACTTTTCTGGGCCTCTAGGGGGCTGAGGAACCTGGGTTGCTCCTGGGCTGTGCTTCCGGTGGCAGGGGGGCGGGGTGGAGGGGTGTGTGTGGTGGGGGGGGGACGCGTTCCTCGTGGGTCTTCCTCCCGTTACCTCAGAGGCTGCCCGACGCTGGGCCTTTGTTCCAAGTCTCGCGCGAGTGGAGACCCAAGTTGCGGGCACGTGGAGGGAAGGCGCATGCGCATTTCTCCCTCTGGGCCCCCGTCCCCCACCACACCACCGCGGAAGTGGCCAGGCTCCAATATGGAGGTACGTGTTTGAGGCGCTTCGGGAAGAAGCCCCTTGTCAGTGACTGCTTTTGTCCTTGTGGAGGCGGTGGAAACGGGGGAAATCCACCTGGCGTCGTGTTTCGCGTACTGGTTTATTTCGTTTCCCCCCTGCCTTTATGTATTGTTGGTGAGGAGTGGTGCCGAGGGGGCCTCAGGTCAAATATGGCGGCGCCTACGAGGGACGAGGCGTCTAGGCCCCAGTGTCCCCGCCCCAGCCCTCCCCTCAACTTACCCGGTCCCACGTTCACGCGTGTACGTCGAATATGCGGAGTGCACCCACCCTCCCTCCCTCCCTCCCTCCCTCCCTGGGCCTGACCACCCTCCCTCCCTCCCTTCCTCCCTGGGCCTGACCACCCTCCCTCCCTCCCTTCCTTCCTGGGCCTGACCACCCTCCCTCCCTCCCCTCCTTCCTGGGCCTGACCACCCACCCTCCCTCCCTCCCTTCCTTCCTGGGCCTGACCACCCTCTCTCCCTTCTGTCTCTGGCCTGACCACCCTCCTTCCCTTCCTTCCTAGGCCTGACCACCCACCCTCCCCTCCTTCATGGGCCTGACCACCCACCCTCCCCTCCTTCATGGGCCTGACCACCCACCCTCCCCTCCTTCATGGGCCTGACCACCCACCCTCCTCTCCTTCATGGGCCTGACCACCCACCCTCCCTTCCTTCATGGGCCTGACCACCCACCCTCCCTTCCTTCATGGGCCTGACCACCCACCCTCCCCTCCTTCATGGGTCTATCCCTCTCCCTTTCCTCTCTTGCCATATTTAGCAGTGCCCATTGCCTGTGGATGACAAGACTCAGTATCCACGTAAAGCTGCCCTAACTTCAGCTGGACGAGTTGGATGGAAATTGGATTTAAGCTACCACCACTTCGAGGTGTATCTCTTTGTAGTTCAATGGATGATGAGAATGGCGTGAGGAAAGATTGACAACTTGGTCAGAGGCTGAACCTGGCAAAACTAGGGCGTGTGTGGGGGGCGGGGAAAGAGAGGGAGAGAAGGAGAGAAAGAGCGAGAGTATGTGTACTGGGGCTTGAACTTGGGGGCCTAGGCACTGTCCCTGAACTTTTTTTTTTTTTTGGTCGGTCATGGGGCTTGAACTCTGGGCCTGGGCGCTGTCCCTCAGCTCTTCAGCTCAAGGTGAGCGATCTACCGCTTGAGCCACAGCGCCACTTCCGGTTTTCTAATGGTTAATTGGAGATCAGACTCCTTTCCTGGACTTTCCTGCTCAGGCTGGCTTTGAACCGCGATCCTCAGATCTCAAACTCCTGAGTAGCTAGGATTACAGGTGTGAGCCACTGATGCCCCGCTCTGACCTTCTTTTGCTCAAGACTAGCACCCTACCACTTGAGCCACAGTGCCACTTAGGTTTTTTTCTGTGTATGTGATGCTGAGGAATCGAACTCATGTAAGGGGAGCATGTAAGGTGAGCACTCTACCACTGAGCCACATTCCCAGCCCTCATTTTTACTTTTTAAGACAGGGTCTCAGTATATAATCCACGCAGGCCTAGAACCCTCAATCCTTATGCTTCACTCTTTTGAGTGCTCAGATTTCAGGCCTAAATCAGGCCTCTCTTGATCAGCGTTTAAGTGAACTGTTGCTTGATTGATGGCAGTGGAATCTTCTTTCGCCTTCCTGAATGAATGCAGATTATTTGCTCCAATTCAGAGTAGAACAGTGAAGAATTTCGAGAGTGTGGGGGCTTCGTAATGCTCAGTAAGCACCGCCCCCCTCCCATCCCTATTTAAGTTTCAATTCAAGATCCCTGAGCTTGTTTTCATTTGGCGGTTGAAGGTTTGAGGTGGTGGAATGTTTATGCTTGTGCTCATGGTGTTGATGTCAGTGAGGGAGTTCAACTGTCTGGACTTCCTTCTGGCAGCGTTTACCAGGGTGGCTCACAGTCCGGATCCACTCTGCTGGTTTGATTTCCGGTGTCACCAGTGGAAAATCCCCTGGGTGATGTAGGATCAGGACTACAAAGACCCGCTGTGATTCTTCGGCAAATTTAGAAGTCCCTTCCCAGAACCTGTAGTCCTTGCAGGTGCCCTTCCAAGGGTAAGTGTTCTCCAAGCCGAGAACAAGGTGTGTGTGTATGTATGTGTATGTGTGTGTGTGAATCTAGATGTAGAGCAGGTAGGGAAACAACTTGCTTGGGCCTGGGGAGATTTGTCTGTGACTCTGGAATGTTCTACGCAAGAATAATGGGGGTGTCTAGAAAAGAGGGTGGAATTGTGGTGTCAGGGACAGATGGGTGTGTACAGAGCCTACCAGCACCCGAAGAGGGGCTCTGGCCCCTGGCTAGGTCTCCAAATGACTGGGAAGTTGCCAGTCTTGTTGGTACCGAGTGTTTCTTGTTGCCTAGTCTCAGCTGGCTCAGCTTGGGTTCAGTGTGATCTAATTCTGTGTGCTGGGGCTTGAACTCAGGGCCAGAGCTCTGTCCTTTAACCTTTCCTGCTATAACTTGAGCCACAGCTACACTTGCCAGTGTTTGGTCGTTAATTGGAGATTGGAGTCTCCCAGATTTTCCTAATCAGGCTGGTTTTGAACCTCAGTCCTCACATCTCAGCCTCCTGAGTAGATAGGATTATAGGAATGAGGCACTGGTGCCCAGCAAATTCATTTGCTTTTTAATTGAACAGTTGTGCGCAAGCCACTCAATCCCACCCTTAGCCTCAGTTTCCTTACAAAATGGGGAGAATGCCACCCAGTTGTGCAGGGCAGTTGATGAGATGGTATGCGTCCTGTTTTTGGAACACTGTCAGTTTTTGCTAAATATTAGCTCTTGACTGTGTCCAAAGTTTCTAATCTGTCTATCGTTAGACAGTATCTGCCTTGTTCCCAAGGTGCTCTGAGAGTGTAATTAAAAATATCATGACTCTAAAAAGGGGTCTTGTCTTTTCAGGAAGTACTATTCCAGGTATTATTGGCATAGTGTCTACATGGTTTGGAGAAGGCTCCAGGCTTTGAATAGACTGTGTGTGTATGTGGGTTTTTTTTTTTTTTTGGTTTTGTTTTTTGTCTGGTTTTACCTTTTTTTAGCTGTAGGGAGGATTATCAGGCCTCTCATTGGGCTGCTTTGGTATCAATCAATACTACCCAACCAATCAGCATGAAAGACTTGAAGCTTTTCCACGTGGGTTAAATTGACAAAATCACTTCAGAGTGTGAGCTGGGAACCAGGTGGGAGAAGAAAAAGCCAAGGAGCTTGAATACCACTGGGAAACTGGGTGTGAGGTGTCCATTGTTGACTAGGACTCATGAAATTTCTTGCTTTCTGGGGAGTTACAGGCTTTGTGCAACTGCTGTGAGGGATGTTCTTTTACTCCTCCCCCTTTAACTCAGAATTAAGTGGTCTTAAAAAATTCTATTTATTTTTTACTCTTGCATATTTTAAAAAACAATCGATTGTAAAAGCGGTAGCCTCTTCATGGACTCCCCACCCAACTCTCAGGCTGGGGTTGTTGTGGTAACATCCTTTTCTGTGTGTTAATAAAACTAAGCTGAGGTTTTTGTTTCCTTTCTGGAATGGCAATGTATTTTTTCTGCCCTCAGTTAGAGCTCACTGTTGTTTGGTATTGTTACCTGCAGAGTATGTTTTCCTTCTATGGTTTTTTTTTTTTTTTAATTCAGGAGACTCATTTTTCAAAATGCAATCTTGGTTTCTATATCTTGTTTGAATCCTTTGTACAAAGACAAGAAAAGACAACAGAAATCACATGGATAGCAACTTCTTTGTTTCTAAAAATGATGAAGGGCAGAACGCATGGTTCTAGTGGTAAAGCACTTGCCTAGTAAGTGTAAGGTTTTGAGTTCAGACCTAGTACCATAAAAAAAGAAAAAGGAAATAGTTCTGCCCTTCCCTTAATCAAGTACTTCTTAGATTGCTGTATGCCTGTAGATTTCTAGATTGAAATGTGTCTTTAATTTTTTTTTTGAGTGAAATTGTGTTTTTTTTTTTTTTTTTTCCCCAAACTTTATATTCAGGGAATGAGAGGATTTAGCAGAGTCATTCAGACATAGTTAGAAACCTTCTGGAGATACTAAGAGCACTTGGTTAAAGTATTTGCTGGTACTAAGTCTTGAACTCAAGACCTGGGTGCTGTCCCTTAGCTGGTTCAGCTCAAGGCTGGTGTTCTACCACTTGAGCCACAGCTCCACTTCTGTCTTTTTAGTGGTTAATTGGAGATAAGAGTTTCGTGGACTCTCATGCCCAGGTTGGCTTTGAACCACTATTCTCAATTAGAATTATAAGAGTGAGCCACCAGCACCTGGTGTGATGGTCAGTTTTGATCATCAATATGATTGGCTTGAGAGATTTGTAGGTTGTTGATGAAGCACACATCTGAGTTTATAGATATCTTCTTTTTATATGTTGATTTATTTTCCCTCAAATATATATCCAATGGTGGTATGGCAGGGTCAGAAGGTAGGTAGGTCTGTTTGCAGTTTTTTCAGAAATTACATTTTTTCCTCGAGATATTTCCATTCAGATTTCCAT